TGGTTAATATTTAGATATGGTCTTGTTAATTTGTTATATGGCTGTATATTTTTTTCTGTTTGAGAAATAAAGTATTCACCAGAATACTATTTATTTTTAATGTTCTTAAGTATCCTTAATTTAAAAAGGGGGGGGGGGGGGGGCTTAATGTACTGAAATATTGTTAAAATGTGTATTCTTTTACGACAGGATAAATATGAAGCGAAAATGTACATAAATCATGTATGAATTGTCTTCATTAAAACAAGGAAGACTTCTTGCTTTCTTTTCTGGTAAATTATTCAAAGAACGTGAGAATTTGAGATACACGATATGCAGGAACTCATACCAGGATTTTTTTTTTTACCACGATTTGCAACAGAGCATTGTTATTCTCACAGTGAATAATATAAATCATATAAAAAAAAGATCAAAAGGGGAGAGGGAATTAATTGAATTACACCAAATGCTATTTTTCAAACTTTAGCACCTCTCTCTCTCTCTCTCTCTCTCTCTATCTCTGCTTTTGCGCTCTACGTTTACATTGGATAAATAATTTTTTGCTTAATCAAATTAAGATTTATCGGAAAAGAAAATAACATACAACCGAGATCTTGCTTTCTGTTAGTCAGTGTCATTTGTTGTGTAGAGTACAAGGAATATTTTAAATCTGTAATAGGATGTTCGCAATTCGAAAACGTCCTTTCAATCTTAGGTTCTTGCTTTGGACTTTGTGTTGAATTAGCGAGATATATGTACTGCACAAACACTTTTTTGTTGGGATTCCTGATATGAAGTCCTAATTTAAGGGAAATTGATCCTTTTGATTTTTATGACCATGAAAATGTTTAAGAAACTGCAACAAAAAAGAACAAATCGGAGTTAATTTGCCTTTTTATGTTGATCTTTTCCAAGATATATTGCCAGAAGGTCTGACATAGTTGTAATAGATGGTCAGGTTTGGAAACATAATTAACATATATCGCTGGGTCGAATATTTACTGAGCAGACAAGTTTCACATCAATTGTTAAGTCATTGTTTTCATGCCATTTTTGACTAAAGAATGCTCCATTTATCTCAGGGGCTTACGCCATGTGTCGAGAGGGGAGGCTCCTATTTCCTATGTATTCTATCCCACATGTTTCAAGAGGTCCCTTTTTAGCTTTATTAACAAGTGTTATTGTTTGTATGATTTATGATATTATGGCTCCAGTCTTTGGCACCTTCTTTTTCAGCCCTTCATTTGTTTTTAATTAAATATTTCGGATTTCCAACGTTTTGGCATGAGCATCACTGAAGAGACATTATTTGTCGAAATGCGCATCTTATAAGATTTACATGGTATTTTCACCTTTTTTTTATTTTGTTCCGTAGATAAAAGTACGATTATAAATTACCGGTATAATGAGACTTACATGCTTTTAACAGAATGTCCTTTCGTAGATTTATTCATTTATTATAGTTTTATTAACTTATTTTTACTCATACATGTATATTTGTTTTTAGTGTTCCTTTATTTTGTGGGTGCATGCTTGGATTGCATTTTGCTTGTTTGGTTCTTATTTTTTTTTATATCATAATTTTTTATAATAGTTTATTTGTTTCTTTGTATTGGAACACGTACGTGCCCCACAGAATTACATTTTTTAATTAAAGAATGTCTGATTATATCCTATAGAATTACACTGTATCTGTTAAATCGATGTATTCTTATTGCACCTAATCTAAAATTTAGTTCAAAATTAATAATGCAATAATGCAAAACATTCAGATGTAATCAAATAGAAAATTTACTTTCTCAGGTAATGCAAAAATAAGTATCGTACGTGTATCAAGAGTCAAAATTCGCATACCATAATTGTTTGTATGTTTTTCTGTTTTTTTTTTTTTTTTTGTTTTTTGTTTTGTTTGTTTGCTTGTTTGTTTGTTTGTTTTGTTTTTTGCATATTCCTCTGTAATATGGAATTAAATTCGTTTAAAAATAAGTTATTTCATTTAATGTGTTTGTTTCTTTTAATTAAAAGAATGAAATATGGAGATAACGAACAGTATTCAATCTCGAAAGTCCAATGAAACGATACAAATTTGAAAGCAGAGGAAACACGGACCTCAAAATTTAGAAGTGGGATCAGGTGCCATAGAGGAGTGAGCATCCCCTGCCGAGCGGTCACACCCCCCGTGTGCTCCTTGTCATAATCGGGAAATAACGGAAAAATCCGTAGACAGTTCAGTGTATAAACAATGGCCTAACAATTAGTATGAGAAACGTCAGTCAGCATTTGACTCAATGATAGGTCATTGTAGAAATATTTTTTAATATAAAAAAGAAAACAATATTTGACAGTAATATTAACTACATATTCTACGACATAATAATGATTTTTTTTTTCAATTTCAAAGTCAAGTATCAAATATTGCGTCTACATGATTAATACATAGGGCTCACGGCGGGTATGACCGTTCGACAGGGGATGCTTACTCCTCCTGGACATCCTTTTGTAGGTTTCATGCCCTGTAGACAGATTTGTAAACCTGAAACATTGCTTCCTTGCTTTCTTTGATTAAAATATAAATTTTAGCGATTTGTAGTAACAATAAATAATTAGCAATCAAGTTTCCATTTTAAAATCTCTCTGATATTAAAATCCATGATAGCTAAGTTGGGTTAATGATTGGATCTTTGATTTATTATATATGAGGAAGAAAAGGAATAAAGCCAAATATCCAGGTATAGTCATCTCTAGTATGGATAGCATTATACTACAATCTAACATCATATCAAGCATTATGTGAAGTACAGTGTTGAGTTTTGTGCTCTTAATATTATCTTTCATTTACCTCTGAAAAACTAAACCGACAACAAAGTTATGAGCATTTATCAAGGTTTTTAGCATTAATCTTTCAAAAAAGGTATATTATGAACAGTGATCCATCTCATAAATCTTAAGAAATCGTAAATGGGGAAAAAGCACGGTTCCTAATTGTAAACACACAGGGGGTGGGATAATGTGCCTAGGAAAAGTAAGCATCTCCTGACCCTTTTACAACCGCCATGAATCTCTATTATCAAATAAATACATGTAATCTTTAGTTTCTTTTATATGTTGTTTAACGTCCCTCTCGAGAATTTTTCACTCATATGGAGACGCCACCACTTGCCGGTGGAGAGCTGCAAATTTTGACCTACACTCGGCACTTACGGCCATTGAGCAGTGAGGGATCTTTTTCGTGCCAGCACCTACTGCGAGAGGGGACCTCGGTTTATACGGTCTCATCCGAAGGACCGGTCTCCACGTCCCACAGTGGGATTCCAACCCGCGAGGTAAAGATCAACTCCTTACGCCGCGACTCTATAGCAGACGCTCTAACCACTGCGCCACTGTAATCTGTAAAAGGTATTATATTATTAAACAATTTGTAGGAAATACTAGTACTAGTATGTACGATAACACAATTTTATAGTGAGTGCTCTTATTATTCAGTTTAATTGATATAAATTTAAATAAAATGTGCAGTTTGTATCTGCTCAGTTTTGATTTTTTCAATTCAAAATCTAAATTTATAGATTCGGACTAATGTGTCAGTGGCATGTGCACCTGCTTAGAATAAAATAATAAGAATTCCTCTACACACCAGAACAATTTATAAAGAGAACTATCTGTGGAGAATTCAACATTTCAGAGCCACCAAAAAATCATATTATCTTTATAAGTACAGATAATTATCAATATAATATGTCACACAAAATTTAATAATTAATATTAGTGTAAAAATGAATTAAAAAAATCGAAATATTGTTCTTCTTGAATGCAATGTAAAAAAGGAACTATTTTACTTCCTTACTTATTCGGACACTAAAGAAATATAGTCCGTTTCTTTCTTTTCTTTCTTGATGCTGTGCAGTTCTGCAAGGTACCAACGAACGGAAGGGAGCAAGTTCTGATTTTCTTTTTCTTCGCTATTCCTCTTTTTAAAACATTTTAATGTAAAACTGAATGTAACATCTATCAATAAAGGTTTGATTTAGCGCTACCGCATTCAAAAACTGAATCACACAAATAGCTTCATTTACAAAAACTGGTTGCATAAATTGGATTAATTAAAGATTGAAAAAGACTTCCGCTTTTTCTTATTAGCAAGAAGATCTATACATGCAAAATGACTTCTGATGCATCTGATGTATATTAACAAAATACAATTTTTTTTTATTTTACAGGAAAATGAGGTTTACTAAATAAAGAGATAATTCGCATGGAAAGCATCGTGTTGAAAATATTTATTTATTAAATATGGTCTGCCGGCAAAGTGCGACAACTCTTCTTCCTTAATAGCAAAAATAAGACCTTTAAAAAATGCTTGTTTGCCTCTCCCGACCAACTGGCTAAAAATGGCCCGACTAAAAACTTTTTTGACCTCCAGGAAACAATTATTCATTCATTAATAACTATAATAACTTCACATCTGCAGCTTTTTCTTAAATTAAAAAAAAATTGCCCCTACCTATCTCCCCAATATTTTATACTTAGTCGGGAGAGGGCAAGCAAACTTACTTTTAAAGATGGTCTAATCATTTTTTTAACTGTATCAAAATTTGGAAAGAAATGCACATTATATCAATAACAAAGTTAATGCATAACAGGAGCACAGTGCGGTTTACATAATTACTACATATGTCTTGCAGCATATGAAAATTCCAGGTTAGGGGATACCAAGGGGCAAAAAGGAGTTTTAGTTTATCTAGTCCTTTACCAATAACCATTTTCAATACGTATTGTACACTTTCAGAACTCTCTGGGTATTAGTAAGATAATGATAATTAAATCGCTATGTTACTCATGAAAACTATTTGAAGAGATTCAAAAAAATATATCTGTTGATACGGAGGCAGAATACTATGTATATTACACACATTTTATAGATTTAGCTCTATTTATTCTTCATATAAAAAAACACACACCGGTATACATGTTTTGCAACAAAAACAATTAAAACAAAGCGCAAAATTAAAATGTTTCCCAAATACAGTTCGAAGAGAATGATATTAACAAAATCTATAATTCTGTGAGCAATATACTTGTTTAATACATTGATTTAAAACAGGAATTCATCATTTTTTTATTTTCACTATAGAATATCATACATTTACTTGTAAGCAACATAAATTAAGTCTCAATAAACATTTATACAGCAATATTGTAACAAGAAAGTTTATCTGATTTATAAAGCTCTATCAGAAATTCACTCTGGAAATTCCTTCATTTAGAACTAATTATCGGACTTTTTAAGCTTGCACGTAAAAGATAAGCACATGCAGTCTACCTCTTACAAAAGAGTGATAATTATACATCTTATATATTATGTACATCATATCTATGTAAAATGTTATTAAATTCATTGAAGCATGACATAATGAGTTAATATGACTAGTACAAAAAGAATGTATTTTAAAAATGGACATATGAAATGGCTACTTTTTAAAGATGGTAGCGGCCTAGCTTATTTGCTAGAATATCAGCCTCTCTTGGACGAACTGCTAAACTTGCCACTAAATTTTTACATCAGATATGATCTGTCATTATTAATTTAGGAGTATAGAGGAAATCAGTTTATAAATATGCATATGGAGAAAAATATAACAATATTTAATGCTAAGAGGTAACTATAACGATCGCCATGTTGTATATGCAATTTGTGTCCCCTACGTAGCGTCTATGATCTTGAATGCAGCCAAGATAGCACATAAAATGAAAACAAACGGTGGTTATTTTAATGGCTGTGTGTCACATTATAACATGCTGTGTGTCACATGATAACACAACACTTTCTCTTCCCGTCCTTCTCGTTTTCAGTCCCTGTGACGTCATACGACTGTAGCTCGTTGGTAAGGGTGAAACCCCGTAAGTCGTCTTTTAGTCCTTTTTGTGACACCATGGAGTAAATCTCTGAAAATAGTAAATAATGGTATCTTATGGTTATAGTTATGTCTTTTTGATTAAGGAATAGATTAATAAACATGACTTAGAAATGCTGCAATGAACTACAAATATTAAAGACTTAAATATATAGAACTTTTATTTTACATTCAAATTCTTTGTAAAGATATAAATATATATATATTTACATTTGCAAATGTTTTCTTTTGTATAACACTATTAAAAGCAATGCGTATCTATTTAAGGAATGAATTTATTAGCTACCCATTTTATACGGTATAAACTGGGTTTGGGCAGATTACGCTTTATAAACCGCGAAGCGGTTATAAAAAAGCGTAAACTGTTCCAACCCAGTTTATACCGTATAAAATGGGTAGCTATTAAATTCATTCCTTATAATTTAATTTTCATTCATTTGGTGTAAGAAAAAAAGACGACTGTCCTTAAAAAATGACTTCAATTTGTACAAAATTTGAATATAACGTCAGGCGGATCGATACTTTTTTGAAGCAAGTCATTGTGACATAGGCAGCCCATTTTATACGATATAAAGTAAATTTTTTGTCCAATCAAATACAGCGTTACAACCAGAATTAAATTATATCCGTATAAACACGGGTTCCTCACGTCATAAACGTTCGACGTAATTTCTCAGTGACGTCATAAAGGGTCGACGCGCAATCAATGGATCAAACACGTACCGTTAAGTTTGAAAAATAAAACATTTAACGCCTTAAAGATTATAATCAGGCAAGTATAAAATATAAATAAGTCACAAATGTAAATATAAGTAATAAGGTATCATTTTAAAACATCTATCGGGATATAAATACGGGTTGGTACGAGATCAAATTTACCATAAAGCCCTTCGGGCTTTATGGAATTTGATCTCTTGACCAACCCGTATTTATATCCCGATAGATGTTTAAAAATGATACCTTATTTCTTAACCCTTTTGCTGCCGTACAGATTTCCAGTTCAAATTACGTACTGTGCCGTGACAGTTTTCTATTACGTTGAAACTATGACGTAACGTAACTATGACGTCACAAACAATGTAGATAAAGGTATAAATACTTATTCGCGTTAAAATAGAGACAACAGAGAACAAATTCTAAAAAGACTAGCCCCTTCGGAAAAAGATTACAATTATAGAACACACATAATTTATGCTCAAATATTTTTTAGAAGATCTAGTACTTTATGTTACATATTTTTCTTATTTAAAAAAATATAACCCCATACCTAATTCACATGAATTATTAGGTATGGGGTTAAATTCTTTAAAATATAAAAAATATGCAACATCAAGGAACCGTGCAGCGGATTGTCAAAACATAAATCATAGTTTCATCGAGAAAATGAAAAAAAAAAATGAATTAGTCGATCTAAAAATCCACCTGTGAGTGAATGAGCAATAAGTTACGATAGCTCATGTTTTAAAGCTTTTCTAGACAGGTTCCGAGCATCATTACTATCCGATCGTCACTGTGAGCACATGTAATGTTCTGTTTGAATCAGGAATACGCATTATTAAGCTCATTTTGTAAACTTCTCTTTTCCGTATTTTTTTTTTCAATAGCCGTCCATGATGGCAATCTGATTATTTTTCAGAAAAATGTCTAACACACACGATGCCATAACGTTAATGTGTGTGAAGGTCAAACTTATACTGATTCAACATTTCTAATTTCCTGGGAACTTTTCGCCATCTAAACATTTGGTTGTAGTTACTAATATTCACTTTTAGTTTAATTACTTGGAGTATATTTTTCCATTCTTTGACATTTTCCATTTAAAAAAAGAAAAAAGAAAAACCGTGGAATATCTGTAAACTGTGCGTAAGACTGTTAATCAAATATTAAAAAACCGTAATTCTGTTTTTTTTTAATGGAAAAAATATGAGAAGAAAATATAAAAATGTCTACTCGGTAGACCTCATTTTTACCCTACAAAATCTCTGAAGAATACAAGAGCTTCCGGGGGCTTCGCCCCAGATCCCCGCCTACTTTTTGCCCCCCCCCCCCTCAATTCCTGGATCCGCGCCTGCCGTGGATCAAGTATACTGCATATAGTGAAGTTAAAAATATACAAATGCAATGTAATTGAAACGCAGTGATACATTAATAACTACTTATAATTTGGGGGGGGGGGGGGGGTTACCAGTAAAGGTTTTCTAAGACATGAAAATTCTATCTATTCGTACACCTTATACATATTTTTTGAACGTAGACCTTACATATTACCACATGCACACACACCCCTTTCCCTGAAACCTTTTGTATTGTTTAAAATTATATGATTGTTATGGTTATATATATATATATTTTTAATGCACCATATACTTTTCTATTTGTAATTTTTTTCTTTGGACTCTTTCTCGTGAATATACTTCAGAATACTAAATATATTTTTGCGGCCGATTTGATGCTTTGCATCATTTTAACTTGTTGTAATCTTGTTCTCATATATTATAACCTGGAATACACCGACGAAGACGTACGTTACTTTTAAGTTTTTCTTCAGTGTCTGGTACCACCCTTGATCGGGAACTTGGATGCATTCTGTGGATTTTTTTTTTTATTCAATCAAGTGAAGAGACTTAGATTTAATTAAAAAAACTTGTTCTTTTTGTAATTTTACTACATTTTTCTACAAATTTACAATATGTATTACTTGTATCACAGGTACTTCTTTCTGTAATAATTATTTAAACCATAGTGTAATAATGTTATTGTTCTGTTATGGGTTAAAAGATATAACTGAAACAGGAGTCTGTGCTTTGTATTTGGTGCTAGATATATAAAAACACCCTCAAGGACTTTAAAGAATTAAGAAACATTTCATTTGGTAAAACTACCAGGTAAATATTCCGTCAACACACGTGTATCTTACAATGTGCATCTATATGTAAGTACCGGTAGTAGTTGACCTTAAATGCCTCGCCTACAGCTGTAGCTGTTAGAAAATAAAGTAAATAATGTATTACTATACTTGGTTAAGTTACATTGGGAGGAAATCAAGATCTTAGGGCTTAGGGGTATTTGCGGGGGGGGGGGGGGGTCTTGCTCCGATTCGAAGATATTTTGCCCTCCCTTTTCGCCGATATACCATCCCGGGATAATAAGGAGTTTTTTCCTCCACAAATTATATTTATTAAACTACCATACACTTTACACAGTCGCGATTTTTTTTTTTTTTTTTTTTTTTTTTTGCTTTCCCTCCAGATTAAGTAATCTGTTGTAAACTGCATTTCTCTGTATAAACTTGTGATGCTCCCAAGGATAAAACGTTATATAGTCGATTAAAAAGCTCTACAAGGCTTACATGTTACATGTATATTGTTAAACTGTATGGTATATAATGCCGATTTTAGATTATGAAAAAAAAATATTTACATAAATTACAATGATTTTGCAATACTAGTATTTCATATTTACCACGATCAAAACATTATATTCTTGTAACTGATGAAAAATTATTCCCATGTTTAAGATAAATAAATAATATTTTTTCTCCCACTGGAACTTAATTTGATTACTTATATCGTTCAGACAAGGATTGGAGATGTTGATAAAATTCCTTAATTTTAAATTAGAATGCATTGTTTACATTTTCCAAAGATTCAGACAAATGAAATGCCTGTTTAAAATTCCTGTTCATTCTCACAATTTTCAGTAATATTATATTAAAATAATTGATTGTTTTCTGCATCAAGAGGCTAAAATGGCGCGAAACTCAGAATGATGACGGAACGTCATAATCAGTTTTACTTGTGACGTAATGAGTTAACAGTAGGCCCAAAATAGGCCCATGGCACTTAACGTAGTTTTTGAAAATAGGCCCAAAATAGGCCCACGGCACAAAGAATGTTAAATAACAAAGGACTACAAACAAATGATGAGGATGTACCCCTGAACGAGGAGATAGAACTCTGGAAAGTAGATTTATAAAAATTAAATATATAACTTAAATTTCATGACAGTTTTAAAACTAAATGTAACAACCACCATTTTCTGTTCACAAATATAAATTTATTTATCCCTATTTGATCACAAAAATTACTACATTACTGAGATATATTTTCTGACAAAAATGATATGTAGACACTTTATTTGATAAATTCAGAGATATTTGTGAAGTCTCTAGGCGACTTTAAATATTTCTTTGTAAGAGAATCGGGGAATGGAGAATTAATCTTTAATACTACTGGCAGATTGGTACATGTATTCCAGAGATTAGAAGACAGTCATCTGTTGGAATCCTGAATGCTATATGTACGTTTATTCAAGGAGGTATATAAATGTTATATTCACCTGACAAAATTGTCTGGAATGCGGTTTCCACGTGCGAACTGTCCAAAGCCGAGGTCTCGATAAATGACATTCTATTCTTCTCTGAAATGACACAATGGACTGTATTTATATACAATAAGAGGTTATAATATAGATGGACTGTATTTATATACAATAAGAGGTTATAATAAAGATGGACTGTATTTATATACAATAAGAGGTTATAATAAAGATGGACTGTATTTATATACAATAAGAGGTTATAATAAAGATGGACTGTATTTATATACAATAAGAGGTTATGACACAGATGGACTGTATTTATATACAATAAGAGGTTATAATAAAGATGGACTGTATTTATATACAATAAGAGGTTATAATAAAGATGGACTGTATTTATATACAATAAGAGGTTATAATAAAGATGGACTGTATTTATATACAATAAGAGGTTATAATAAAGATGGACTGTATTTATATACAATAAGAGGTTATAATAAAGATGGACTGTATTTATATACAATAAGAGGTTATGACACAGATGGACTGTATTTATATACAATAAGAGGTTATAATAAAGATGGACTGTATTTATATACAATAAGAGGTTATGACACAGATGGACTGTATTTATATACAATAAGAGGTTATAATAAAGATGGACTGTATTTTATACAATAAGAGGTTATAATAAAGATGGACTGTATTTATATACAATAAGAGGTTATAATAAAGATGGACTGTATTTATATACAATAAGAGGTTATAATAAAGATGGACTGTATTTATATACAATAAGAGGTTATAATAAAGATGGACTGTATTTATATACAATAAGAGGTTATGACACAGATGGACTGTATTTATATACAATAAGAGGTTATAATAAAGATGGACTGTATTTATATACAATAAGAGGTTATAATAAAGATGGACTGTATTTATATACAATAAGAGGTTATGACACAGATGGGCTGTATTTATATACAATAAGAGGTTATAATAAAGAACTACTGCTTTAAAAAAACTTATTATAAATATCTTTATAAAGAAAAATGATAGAGATGGGACAATAACTCACCCTGTGTTAATTTATTACTCATATTTCTGCTTAGTGTAAAGACACCCTAGAAATACTTATAAACGCTTTTTCATTCCTTCTTTTCTATATTTTCTTTTATCTTAAATTTACCTGCATACTGCTGAGCCTCATGTGACGACACGGCACGTAAATGACGTAGATCCGTTTTATTTCCCACTAACATTAAAATGACGTCATCATCAGTAAAATCGCGCACTTCCTTCAGCCATTTTTCCAAATTGTCAAAAGTCAATCGTTTTGTGATGTCATAAACCATGATTACGCCAACTGCTTTTCTGTAGTATCTGCAATTAATACAACATTAATATATATTTTTTTTATTTCATGTAGAGATACAGCAGGCCCGTAGCAACGGTTTCAAAAGTGTGGGGGTGGGGGACAACCTCCTTAATTGCAATAAATTCTGGACGTTGCCCTTGCTCAACATTACAGCAACAAAAAGAGCAACAGGCATCTAGCACTGCCCCCAACCCACCCCCATCGCGTTCTATGGGTCTGTACAGGATTTGGAAATCTACTTATTTGTTTTCTGTTTACTTAGCATTTGTTTTCTGTGTACTTGCGCATTTTTTGTACTTACGCATTTGTGATGGCTCTGTATCTGTCTTGTCCCGCCGTGTCCCAGATCTGTGCTTTCAGTGTTTGACCATCAATATGGACACTCCTAAAACATCCAGGGGGTTATGATCAAATTATATGCTGACTTGAGACATAAAACATTACTTTCTTGATATCTTATAAATGAGGATTCTTTTTTTTAAATGTTAATTTGACAAAAGTTCATAATCTCTTACAGGAAATGCATAAACATGTTTTTATTTTAATTTCGTTTTATTTCATTTCCTCGAAAAAATTTTCTTATAAATTTTGATTTTCTACCCCCTCCTCTCCCATTTACTGAAGATTCACACCTGGTGGCAAACTCCACTCCAATCGTACTTTTGCTCTCTAAACTGAACTCATTTCTGGTGAATCTTGACAAAAGATTACTTTTTCCAACACCACTGTCACCAATCAGAACAACTGTAACAAAATTAAGAGGAATCATCACCAATGAGAACAACTGTAACAAAATTATAAGGCTTCATCACAAATCAGAACAACTGTAACAAAATTAAGTGGAATCGTCACCAAGTTTACTAGTATATGAGAAGAAAGTTTCAATATGAACCCCACTTTTAAATAAAATTATCTTAATGTAATGACCGAAATGAAATAATTCAAATGTGGTTAAGGGTTGTCCTTGGCAACATCTTTGTCATGGTTTGGGAGATATCTCAATTTTTACTGTATACTCCATATAAACTCGGTGATTCTGATATTTATTATTTAAAGGAACCATTTAAGAGAAGAAATTAATTTTTGAGAATTCATGAGGACATGAACTACTACGACGCTTCACGCCGGCATATTTCATGAAGCGCGTAAGTGCTTCATGATAAATACGTTGTAGTTCATGTACTTCATGAATTCTCAAAAATTAAATTCATATCTTATATTTTACAATATTTTTCTGATGACTTGCCACATATTAATTTTTGGCATTCGACGATCATTTTTGAAAAAAAAAAACAAGTTTGCACTTTTTTTGTACTTCAATTACATCACATTAATTGGAAATATTTTTACTCATCCCAGGGTACCATTTAAATATATCATTATTGTGTAACTTGAGTATACGCATGTAAAAACTAAGATTGTGTGACAAAATATTGATAAAAAACAATAATAAATGTTGACAGGAAATCATTATGTACTAAAGGAGGCAAAATGCGCTTAAGTACTTAATTATATGTAATTAATTAGTTTATAGAGGGTCAGAGATTCCTGAAAAACAATTGAAACGGAAAATGGTATTCAGAGTAAAAATATATTTGCTTAAGGAAGCGATTGCAAGGCGTCACGTGATCGACTCATGTGATGTTTAAAAAAAAGAAGATTAACGGTAACCATTTCCGGAATAACAGCTGAATAAGGAGCGTGATTATGATTACGCCCATGACAAAAGGTCTTTGTGGCAATATTTTTAAAACAGAGAAAGAATAAGATAAAGATGTGATTTTGCAGAGTGCTGGTGAGCGTCGATGCAGATTTTTTTTTTTTTTTATCCCTGTAGGTTTTTTTTTTCTTTCGACACGTCTACCTTTTGCCGTAGTTCTGAACACTGAAATCTATTTCATGAATAAATTTAATTCATGTCTGGCTCTTTATGTCCTCTAGTTTTATTTAAAATATTAGAATTTTATTTGAGATCGGTTTCTTTACTATAGGATCTACATCTATGAATAGATATTCATTTCCTAGAAGCTTCACACAGCGTGATTTTCTAAGTGATAATAATGAATATAGCCTACATGGATGAACAGATAAACGTTAGCGATTTTCATATGTACGTGTATAGACCAGTTTGAGGTCGCATGCTTGACATGAACGTATTTTTAAAAATATCGCAGAGGAAATTGTTTCCCTCAGTAAGATCTTCTCTAGCATTTTCAACTCTTACGTCGACCATGTAAACAATGAATCGTCGGCACAGATATTGCGGAAGCATTTGTTGTGGTAAAATGTTTTATGCGTCACATTTGGTAAAAAATTGAAACTTAACACACTTCTGATGACAGAAAAGAAAAGTTTCTTCACAAATCTAGCAAAAAATACGCGTGTAAGAATAACGGACGAAACTAAGAGAAGTTATTTCTGACAATCGAGGTACTACGGAGGTACCAGGTATACCAGAGAGAGAAAATTATTTTGAGCACATAACGTTACATTAAAAAAAAAAACATTTCAACTCATCATGCTCACGGGAATATATTTGAAAAATGAATTTAATTTTTTTAAAATTCAGGAGGACATTAACAAAGACGCTTCACCTCAGCATATTTTATGAACCGCGTGAGCTAGCGCAAATTTATAAATGTCATTCAACGCGATTATTTTTGAAACAAAACAGTTTGCATTATAGTTTTGACGTCAAGTGTGGCATTATGACGTCACAATGGAGATACCTAGTTCATGAGAAAATGAATTGTTTTCTAACTTGCAATGAATCTGAAGGAAAAATATTTGCAAATGTAAATATTAAATAGCAAATCACTAAAATTTGTCAAATAAGATAATAGCTAGGATTTTTTTTATAGACGGTATATATTGCAGGTACAAGTTCTCTGAAATAACCTATTCATTCAATGTATTCAAGTGACCCCCCCCCCTCCTTTCCGATTCCAAGTCACAGTGCAGAGAACTCGATGAGTGTTCAGAGCATGAAGAATTTGGCCCTTGGACCACTGTGCACTGGTTTAGAATGTATATATCTATATTGATATTATAACGGAATGAATATTTTAGAGATGGGAAAATTTAAAAAAAAAAAATGCATATTGCTTTTTGTGTACTTTCTGATCGTATCAGGTGGTACATGATACTTTTATCATTCTGCTCTACGTATAAAATGAGCAACCACCACAAGATTTTCAGAAAAATTTTTTTATTAATCTATACGTATTTTCTATAGTTTTTTTTTAACAGATTATGCATATTAAACGTTCAGCAACAAACCATCAGATTAAAATTTATGAAATCTTTTAATATTTTAGGAAGGGGGGGGGGGGGTATTGAAATGCATGTAGCTTAAAAAAGAATGTGATGACCCCACTTCATATTTTAACCATAAGTCACTTATAATAATTGTTACAAAATACATTAATTTTAGGAAAATTCATTGGGCAATTTTTTTTCAAGACGTTGAAAACTGCTCTTGGGGTGAAAATATTACTGCAAATTTACAATGACTACTCCCCAAAGCAACTGTGGCATTACTACATCTATCAATAGTTTCCGATGCAATTTTTATTTTCAATGAATATAATGCATATTATTTAATATCTGGTGAAAATTATTTAATTTGATTCAATTTTGATACCTGTATGGCATTCTTAAAATTCCACTACATAAATATCAAAATATTGAAAAACGGTGGTTACCATGGCAACCATATCTTTCTTATAACCCTGATGACCTTGGTTGACATTTTCATATTATGATACCATTAACGTAAGGCAAATTATATGTAAAAATGAGAAAAATTCATAGAGCGGATTTTTTTCATGGACCCTTGCAATCTCTTCCTTAATATCTCTTACAACCCCGTTAAAGAAAAGAACAAAGTTATATTAAAGACAACCTTACAAATCGTTCACTAAAAAAAAAAATGTCTACTATACAAACCTTTCGCCAAAAAATCGTATTCATCTTCGGAATAGTTCGGAGGATTTGCTTGGTTTTTACAGTGTTCGCATGTCCTATGGGAACATTTGGATGCTTTCTGCATTATACGCACAATATATCCGTTATTTACCAGAAATGTTAAAAAACTTCCAAATACTATTCATCGAGAGAAAAAAAACAAGAACAAAACGAAGAGCGAAAAATCCCTTCGTCTCAACACTATATACTAGAGGTGTATTTTCTCTCCTTATTACAACTATACGTTTAAACTTAATTATTAAACCTAAACATTTATATATATACCGATGAAGGGGAAGAAAATTTATGAGTCAGTATTTAAAAACGGATATACATATATATAGCACTAGTTAAAATGAATGGGACCTTTTTATAGCCATGATATGTTACACGTACATGGAGAAACTGCCAGTCTGGCCGCGGTGTGTAATGTTTACAAACAAACCTGACTCACGCACCTGTCACATCTATAAATAGATTTACTTAAGGTTTTAAAATAAAAAAAAAATCGAAGAGAACGTCTTGCCAAAAATTTTATGGAAATTTTTACGAGACACATGGGCCACTTACAGATAAATGAACATGTACAATGTCGCGTCAGTAAATAAAGTCTCGTTATTGTGTATATGATCACCAATTTATATATTATGTATAAAGTTCATTGTTACAATACCCTATACTGATATGTTTATTTTACTTGTTTACTTCTTGCAATTTCAGTAAATTCCTGCAATCTATATAGACGGAATCTAGTATATAAACTATAGTACAATCTGGTTAATTTCTTTAATGTAAAACTTTGACCCCTATAATTATAAAGTGGACCCGTGGCATCCCTGACCATGAGTGGCACGATTTTAACAAAGTACACAAACATTCATTACTTTTATTATTCTTTACTTATTTTTTAAAACAAATTATGACCCAGGTGTTTTTGAAAGAAGCTTCAACTTTAACTGACCCCTTTCGGTGACCGTATCCTTACCAAAGGTGCCATGATTACATCACCCTTCAGTCTACACTCTAGAGAAGGCTTCTACAAGTACGTCAACATGACTAGCTGTTGTCCTGTTGTTTCATAGAATCTTTATATTTTTTAGAATGTGGTAGTGTAAGATACATTGCATCCTACTAGACTGGGCTAGTATGTTAACCCTTTAGCTAGATCATTACAGCACTGGACTGGCAAGCCAAAGGGCCTGGGTTCAAATCCATTCACAAATGTCTCTGTTACACATATAACTATGACCCCCTTATCACAACCCCAGGGGCTTTGCCTTTCAAATTTTGTTCTTAAGTTCCTTTAACCTGCTGTAACAGTAAGAAGCTAAGTCATCACATTCAATGATCTTTACTTCAGTCCTATATTTCCCTCGAACTCAATTTTTCAGCATATTTTTTTTCTATTGCTTGAAAATGGAATTAAAGAAACGAAAATCTGTAAAACACAAATTATAAGCTGCTTACATTCCACTTGCTATACAAAATATAATCCTCCCATTAGATTTTGTAAATAAAGACAAAAATGTCTGTCATATTTCATATGTTTATTCCAATGTTTGATAATTCCTCTCACACAATAAATCTTTGGTCCAGACAGACCCTTTCTCTCACTGAATGCCAGTAATTATACACAGAACATGCAGAAAAAGGTGTGAAAAAATAAAGAAAAAAAATAGCTCATTGTATGAATATCTGGAATGAATTAAAAATTTAACAGGAGTTTGATAATTTAGTATAGCTTAAAAATACAGAGAAATGTTACAATTGTATAACATCAATAGGTGTTACTCCTCCTTATAGTGTCAAACCTACTGAAGAACTGCACCAATCAAATCACACCATTTGTTGAACAAGCTGGAAATACTTAATAAAGCTCAACCGAGACAAAAGGGCAGTAACTCTTCATGATCACAAGTTTTTCTTTTATGTTTGCTGTCATCCCTACGTATGAATGTTTTCGTGTTCAACAGTTGTATTTTTGACACACCAGGACAAGTAACAGTGTATATAGATAATAAACAAAAATCACCGTCACTGACAGACATGGTAATAGTTAGCTGTGTTTTTTTATATCATAGTATATGTATATTAAACCAATAAATAAAAGCATCCACACCTGTATTGGTATAGCACTTTAGTTGAAGCCTCAATTACACATTATGTAGGTCAAAGAAGCCTCATTTTCACATCATGTAGGTCAATGAAGCCTCATTTTCACATTATGTAGGTCAATGAAGCCTCATTTACACACTTATGTAGGTCAATGAAGCCTCATTTACACATTACGTAGGTCAATGAAGCCTCAATTACACATTACATAGGTCAATGAAGCCTCATTTACACACTTATGTAGGTCAATGAAGCCTCATTTACACATTACATAGGTCAATGAAGCCTCATTCTCACATTATGTAGGTCAAAGAAGCCTCATTTTCACATTATGTAGGTCAACAAAGCCTCATTTACACACTTCTGTAGGTCAATGAAGCCTCATTTTCACATTATGTAGGTAATGTTCCCATTCTCTAATTGTGTGTGTGGTTATTTTCTTCTCCTTACTGTTTATCAACTAAAAATATCAAATTTTATTTCAATTTGACTTTATGTTTCTGTGTATTGATTATATATCATGAAATGGTTTCCATTCTTCGATGAATACTTCAAATTGAGACATAATGCTTAAACAAAACTGATCAAAGTTTAAAAATGGATAAAATGCTGTTTTAATGAAAACTGGTCAAATTTTTTGCTAAACATTTTAACCATCAACAGTTTTTACTTTGTCTAAAAAAAATTACAGGTACTATTTGTGAATATCTGATCAGATAAAGTATGTCAAAAATACGCTTTCTCTTATAAATGTATAGAACAGCAAGGAGAAGAAAAAATGCCAGATTTAGTATAAAAATTAAAAATGCAGTGACCACCACTTACAAAATAAATTCTCCTCCATCCATAAATTTATAACAACATGTGATGGCCAAAAATGATAGTTCTCACATTGAAATTGAGGATCCATCCCTCATATTACATAATCATGTTTAAAGAAATATCAGGATCCATCCCTCAAAATTGAGGATCCACCCCTCAGTTCAGCATCAGTATCATTACAATGTTTGGCTCCCCTAACACAATTCAATATTATTTTATTACAAATCTACAAAATTTTAACATTAAATAATAATTTTCAGCATTTTCAATGTTTCTGCATTACTCTAACATTTTAAATGCCTTAAACTTTCTCAGACTGAGTGTACTATTCTTTTTCAAACTTTTTAAAATCTACATTTTGTGTAAAAAATATAATAAAATAATCAAAGATTTCGTGTATTTTTTGGAAAAGCTTTGTATTTTAATTAAATATTTCAGCTACCCTGGAAATTTGTAAACAACACAGGGTAGGTGTGAAACACACATGTAGATCCTATTTGAAATGCTGTGTTCAGCTATAATGTCTCTATGCAACATAACATAGTCAGAAGTCAAATTCTCTCAACATTGCATAACACAGATTTACATTCACTTCCAATGCAATATTTCAAAGCTTTTTCTTATATTCCTAATTCGGGGAAAAAAAAAACTGCACAAATTTCTTACACTTTTCTCACAGAAGTTCAATCTGCATCAAAGTTACACATAGCATAAATGCATCGACATCAACTAAGAAACAAAATATCCACAGATGTGTAGCATTCTGGGTAATAACATTAATATACAAATTAAAGTTCTCGACGAGGTTCATTAACCATAGCTGTTATGTACATAAAAACAATTCATCACATAATAACATAATCAGGAAAACAGAACTCTTGTCTACAATTCACCCCCTGCCATTCGTCAAATGATATGTAAACACTTATAATCCGGGGCACTTTGACAATAGTGATGCTGAAGTGAGTGATCTCCCTTTGTTGTTGTTTTGTTGCGGTTGTTCACTTCTGTCCCTCAGACATTACAACACTTTTGTTGTTTGGGGGCGTTATTATCTGTAGGAGCTACGTGAATTGTCTGTACATTGTTACTGGGTGAATTATCGTCGTCTGGACTGTCCCTTATCTGCTTCTGAGAAACTATCTTGTAAATTTCTGTAAAAACAAAACACATCATCATTAGGATAAAGGAAACCAACCTCACTATTTAGAAAAGTAATCCACAACTATCAATAAGATCCCCACTTTTTCCTTTGTTGGAATAAACATAGTTTCTGTATTTTGTACCAGAATTAATTGAAGATTGACTTGACACAATTTTACAATGAATGTCTAATCTGACAACTGTACTATCTGTTTCACCGTGATTCTGACGTTTAATTCCCATTTTACTAATTTCCATGTACTCTAGACAGTGTTAACCGAAACCCTGTCTATTCTGGCACAAAACTGGACTCCAAGTGCATGTCAGATTAGTCAGTTTTCACTGTATTTTCAAACTTTATTCTATGTTCTATTTTCTTTTGCGGATCAACTGACATCTTTGGCTGCATAAAGCCAGTTAGTTACGAACCCTATTATGCTCATCTATCTCTGGATGACACCATAAGAAAGTAGAAATTAAGATTTTTCTTGTCGTTTTTTTTTTTCAATGAATCTGCAAGAATTGAGGCCATTTGAAAAATCATTTACAGACAATTTTTACCAATACATATTACAATATCAAAGCTATTCTGGTATTTAAACAGTACAGCAAAAAACAAAAATTATCAACAATATTTAAACTAGATGTGTGGTTAATACCAGGAATGCCCCCACAAGCAGCGAAAATTTCAAATGCAGTATTTAGTTTTAAATTTGTTTTCGAACTTGACCTCTATTTTCTGTTAAAATACCTGCATATGCAATTTCAACCTTTGACAAACATCCCTACAAAATTTAGAGAGCAAAAACTGAAATTTCCTATTTTTTCTAAGTTCAAGAGGGATAACTGTGAAAAATCATGAGACCAGGCCAAAATAAAAAATACCTTTGTTTCCCCTAACACGACCGACCCACTTAAATCGTGCCGACTGAAAAGTTTCTAAATAAGATTATTTAAATATATTTTTTTATTGTTTATCAATTTCATACCATACAATTTCATCAAAATCCATTTTTTATAAGAATGGTGGCATTTGTTTTACTCTCATTTGGCGCCCACAAATTGTGGCCACAGAGGGTTAGTGCGTGTTATAAAACAATGATGACGTATCAATCTTATTATATATCTTTAACTTAGTAGAATCCTACACTCTTGAGAATTTTCGTGAATTAAATGTACCATGACTAAGGAGTGTTAAGATGGTATTTACAAATGTGTCTTCTAAAATTAACATATAGTAAGCATGGCAAAGCCTGCCTCATGAGCAGATGAGGGACACACTTTGCGTACATATAAAAATAAATTTCACTACATTTCATTCGTTTCGATCTAATAAACAGTTCATGTATGACCTTACTTTTACTATATAGGACCAAAGGAGTGTAAATATGTCTTTGTATGATTATTTCACCTTGATAAATATAATTCAGATGTCGTTTCTTCATTCCTTTTATCTACAGACTATTAACTTCATGACTATAATGTTAGATATATGAAACTTCAATCAATATGGTTTAGTTGAATTAAATATTGTTTATACATGCACATTCTTTCCAAATAGTGTTGAAATCTGCTTATGGTACAGCTTCCTGAAATGTCCAGTGTATTTTTCTTTAGTTTGGCCCTTGAAAACAGGTTTTCTTAAGTTTGGCCCTTGAAAACAGGTTGTTTCTTTGCTTTAAAATACCGTTAAAAAATGTTGGGCCGATGGAGGGCTCCTAATTTAGACTTTTACCCGGCACTTATGGCCATTGATCATTAAGCATCAGTAAGGGATCTTTTTCGTGCCAACATCTACATGTATACTGCGACACTGGACCTGCGTTTTTTACCGTCTCATTTGAATGACCAGTCTCCATGTCCCATGTTGGGACCTGTGACTTAGAATATTAAGCTCCTGAATTACGTCGTGACTCCACAATTTAACGAAACACTAAAGTCACTGCGCCACGCGAGGTCCTGATATTTTGTCTGTTGTAAGTACTCGAAGATGATACATGTAGTAGGTTTGAAAAATATTCTCATATGTCCGATGGTTGAGTATTTGCAAATCGTGTGTTTTTGTAAATATTCGATTTCCATAAATTTACGCTGGCCTGAGATATTTCACAAGTTCAAATGAATTTGTGAATTAATTTACCATACATGGTACTTCATTTGTATGATATTCGGTTTAAAAATCGGTTTCTTTTGTTCTTTCTTATTTATAAAGATATTATTCAATTTTTCAGAATGTATTTTCAGAACTGCTGTCAGAAAAAAAAATAATTTACCTACCTACCTATCCAACTTGAGATTTTAGGGTCGGGTTAGGGAAACAAATATATTTTTAATGATGGCCCCATGACCAAATTAGTATCCATATGTTAAATCTGAGTTGAATGTGTGCAACTGCTGCAGAGGCAACTATTGCAGAGATAATGAACAAAAAGTGAATGGTGACGGAATGAAGGAACAGGGTAACACTATATGCCCCAGCAATTATATGGCAGGTGCACAACAAAACTCTTGCTAATGCTAGACTTGCTTTTCTTTAAGAAGTTACCTGTTAAAATATTCTGAAATGCTGTTTCTACATTAGTGGAATCCAGAGCCGATGTTTCAATGAAAGACAGGTTATTTTTTTCTGAAAAGACAAAAACAGACTTAAAATAACACATTCTGAACATCCATTTTTTCTCCTAGCTTGTAACATGTATAAAGCCTAGTGTCTGAAAAACAAAATGATTAATGCAGGAGCTCATGTTAGAGAAAAAAAATGTATAAACTTGCACAAGTTATGGATCCTAAATATATTTTTATTTTTGAAAAAAAGAAAACATTGTGGTTTATCAATTTCTGAACTCTTCTGGCCCAGTGGTTCTTTAGAAGAAGATTTTGAAAGATTTTTCTTATTGATACCTATGTAAAACTTTGATCGCCCATAGTGGCCCAATCCTACCCCCAGGGGTCATGATCTGAATAAACTTACATCTACACTATGTAATGAAAATTTCACGTAAGTTTCATCTTTTCTCGCCCATTGATTTTTGAGAATATTATTTTTGAAAGATGCCGTAAAGTAGACCTATATTTGCACTACGTCATTAACAAATAGTAAAACAGGAACCAGGCTTCCTTTTTCCGAGACATAATTTTTTTTTTACTACATTGATTTGACTTTTACTCAGTATTTGAAATATCCAGGAATGATTTTGCTAAAAGGTGGTCTCATCAATGACAGTGTAACAGGAAATTAAGTAAAAGGGAAAGGATGGAAAAAACTTAAGGTTGACAGTAATAAAGATATATGATAAATGATATCTATGATATGATAGTAAGGCCAAATAAAAAAAATATGTGTGGTTCCGGTTACCCGACCTTCCCTTTTTTATACCCCCCACCCTAAACTTTTTTTTGGCAATTTTCATATTTTTTCCGGAATTTTCCCCGATTTCCATCAATGGCAGTTTCAGCAATGACGGCCTCCTTGCAAAACATAGTTTAATAGTGTTAAATCCAAAGCAAACTAGCATGTAGGTGTCCCCTTCCAATATTGACTAGTATATTATCACACCACATCTAAATGCCATTTGCAAAGCAGTGATAGGTATTATTTCTAAAGAAAAAATTAAGAAAATCAATAAAAATTCCCTACCTACCTACCCTAATTTTTATGGAGGTGTAACCGGAACCAGACATATTTTTTTGTTTGGCCTAAGATTTCACTTTCCATTGATTTTACATGTATTACTAGAGAACAAGTACATGTGCATTCTGATTACCAAAACATGGTTTAATAACAAAGAAAAACATCATAACTTGCTTTCTTTCAAGGGGTTTCTGTCATATTTAAACCACCGCATTTTGGCAACCTGACATCACTTAAGTGTTTGAAATCTATCTCATTTTTAGCGATAAAAAAGTGTCAAACTGAGACAAATCATCAGGGGCTGACAAATTCCATTGCCCAACGCCCGTGGCTGGTCATTTTAAGACTCGGGCTAGCTAATTTAAATATTTTTATAGTCCATCAGGCTAGCTGAATGGAAAAAGAAATTCTCATCAGTTTACTTTCTATTTCTATGTAGACTGGTTTCTTATGACTGAAAACGTTCAATCTGTTTCTGTCACAAAAGCATTTGAAACTTTAACTTTTTACATTTTCACTTTGCATAAAAAAAATTGTTGGGCTAGTTAGTTTGAGGTTGGGGCTAGTAATTTTTTACTGATCAGTAGCCCCTGGGCTAGTGGGATTTCCAGGAAAATTTCAACCCCTGGAATTGTAAGAGTGGGCAAGTGGAATTTTATCAACGACTTGAAAAAAATAAAATCCATATGCAAGTCATAGTTCTTAAGCTTTGTACAGGGGTTTGCATGATATACTCAGTATTTGTACTCCATTTTTTAAAAATATATATAAATATGATAATAGATCATGCATGGTGGGACAAGTAAATATTCAGGTAGGGCAAGTGAATTTTGACCATGCACTTGCCCTTGGACGAGGGCCTAAAAAGTCTATCTGTCAGCCCCTGATCATTAAGAAAATTAACAGCTAAAATCCAAACCAACGGATTACCAATTTCGGTGTTTTCATAATAGCAAAACGTGAGATGTATTTTGGACTCTAAATCCATACAAGATACAGCAAAATTGTAAGAGTAAACAGGTCTGGTTTTGTATTAAACAAAATATGCATGGTAAAGAGCATGCTATATATATGAATGTGACATGCGAGATATATAGATGTATAGTTTGTGCATTTTTCGTTTGCGTTAGCCTGTGAGAATGCCAGATTTGCGGACTTAACCTTCAATTCATTTATACCAAAATTACTTCAATTCAATGTAAGATAGTCTACTGAGCATCAATAATGTTAAGATGTAGCCGTGGAACTAATTTTAAAATCGTATACAGAAGCTTGAATCTGATTGACCAAAATTTTTATGTTTATTCATAATCGAAAGGTCTCTCTGACGTGACGCCGAATTGGATGTTGTTAGATGTTTGAGAAGCAGTGGCAGATTCGGAACATCTAATTTTACACTCTCTACCATCGGTTCATACATTCACCTCTGTCCTTGGCTCGCGTATATCACAGTGATAAGCACAAGAAATAGTGTGTTTCTTTTAATCCATTATAATTAAATGTCTGAGCTAAGATTGTCCTTAAAGATAGATATTTACTAAATAGATCTAATACTCTTGTTTTATTTGAAATAATCCTTGACATGTTATGTTTTTTTACGTTATGTCAAAAATCTTGACGCGAGCCCATTGCAGAGGTGTCTGAGAGAGAAATGAATGACAACTCTGCAAAGGAGATTGCTAATTTTAATTAGATTGAATTCTTCTATCCTGGTTACATAAAAGCGAATTTTGAATTCACCGCTGAAAGAAGAATGTTTACGCGAGTTCCATTTTATCCAGGTCACTAATTACTGCCGACCAAGTGCGTAAGAACACCAACATGGAAGGTGAAAGTTATTATTTTAGGGGTAAAATGTCGAATTTTGGTAGAACCAATATTCTCGTTTCTGTATTTGAAAAATGAAGTTTGCTGTCAAAAATCATTGGACCATGACCAAATTCAAAGGTGACCAGTGTATTCCTATGATGTATGCATATGTCAAATTTGAGTTGAATGTGTGCAACTGTTGCAGAGATAATGAACGGAAAGTGAATGATGACAGAATGACAGAACAAGGTAACACTATATTCCCCGGCCATTTTATGGGGGGGGGGGGGGGGGGGGGGGCATAAATAGCAAGCTTTTTTAAGCTTGAGCCCAATTAGTGCGAAGAATAGAACTACTGTAGATTCCTTATTTTACACGAGTACTTAATATCGCGAAATGGCCCAAGGGCGTCAAATCGTGAGAACAATAATTCGCGAATGGGTGATTTATCTAGATATTTTACATACATTAAAGCACCATAAAAATAAAAGCGAGTAATTTTATTTCGCGAGTGGTGCTTCTCGTGTAATTACGCGATAATTAATTCCTCACGTATATTTAGGAATCTACAGTACCTTAAATTTTCATTTATTCTTAATTATCTCCCTTTGATAGAGGATTTGGCCCTTAATTTGAACAAACTAAAATCCCCTTCACCCTAGGATGCTTTATGGCAAGTCTGGCTGAAAATGGCCCAGTCGTTTTGGAGGAGAAGATTTTTGAAAATGTGAAAAGTTTACAACAATGACAGACCATTAACAAATTTTGATCAGAAAAGCTCACTATGGCTCAGGTGTGCTTACAAACCTGCAAAAGTCTTAGCCTCATCTGTAGGAACAGCACGTAGATGTCGTAAATCACTCTTATTCCCTACTAGCATTATAACTATGTTATTGTCTGCATGATCACGTAGTTCCTTCAGCCATCGTTCCACATTTTCGTACGTTAAGTGCTTTGCGATGTCGTAGACAAGGAGTGCCCCTACTGCCCCTCTGTAGTATCTGTAAAAAATAACAGTCAGAAATTCCTCTATAAATCGGAAACATTCAAGTTTACAACATGCATTTATAAAAATTATAACAATTAGTCTTTGAACAAAGCAATGATCCTGACAGAAGACACAAAGCTGTTATATAAGGCAATACCTTTTTTCTTTGAATCATACTACCAGAAGTCATATGATTCTGTATTTTTTTGTAAGTGTATGATTTGATGACTGTGCATGATGAGTAGGTGATTTTTTGCTTGAAGGTATAGACGATAATTACGCTCTGATGATGATTTGGTATCATTCCTAGCTGAGAACACAACTAAAAATGATACTTACGCGCTGGTGATAGCTCGGTATCGTTCCTGGCCTGCTGTATCCCAGATCTGAGCCTTGATTGTCTTCCCGTCCACCTGTATACTCCTGTAAGGACAAAATATAAACACTAAAAATAATGCTCACAGGAATCATGTAACTTTCTCTCTGAAAAAGGACCCCCTCTTGTCGTCCAAGACCAAGTCAAATGTCATGTTTATACTGATCTCTTTAAAAATCCTTAAAAAGAATTTGTAAGCCCCGTTGAAAATTTACTAGCCTTAGGCATGCTAACAGATAAGAATTTTGCACACTCTAACTATGCTTTATACATACCTGGTAGCACACTCTAACTATGCTTTATACATACCTGGTAGCACACTCTAACTAAGCTTTATACGTACCTGGTAGCACACTCTAACTAAGCTTTATACGTACCTGGTAGCACACTCTAACTATGCTTTATACGTACCTGGTAGCACACTCTAACTAAGCTTTATACGTACCTGGTTGCACACTCTAACTATGCTTTATATGTACCTGGTAGCACACTCTAACTATGCTTTATACGTACCTGGTAGCACACTCTAACTATGCTTTATACGTACCTGGTAGCAAACTCTACCCCGATTGTACTTTTACTTTCCAAGTTGAATTCATTCCTGGTAAATCTGGATAGGAGATTACTTTTACCCACACCACTGTCACCAATCAGAACAACTGTAACAAAAAAAAAAAGGAATTATCAACCAATCAGCACAAATGTTAGAAATAAACTTATACACCAATCAGAAAAACTGCAACAGAAATAAAAGGAATAATCAACCAATCAGCACAAATGTCAGAAATAAACTTGTATAAACAAATATCACAGTTTTATTTAACAAAAGAACTGCAACAGTCCATGTGATATCTATTTAGTAGACAATTTTCACTGGAATGTATATATATATATATGATGTGTCAGAAATGTGGAGAGAGGTGAAGCTAATGCACAAGAACTATACACAAAGAATTTAAAATCATTCTCTTGATGAAGCAGAAGTTGCATTTTTTTCTAAATTCAATTACTAGTTTCACTACAGTGTTTGCTCATCAAGAATCATATTATTACAAATTATAAACAAATCTGTACAGGTTCTGTTTACAAAACAACCTTCATGAGTCACATCAGCTGATGATCTATAAATAGTTCATTATTCAGGTGATTTTTTCTCTAGGTGCACATATGGTAATACTTCCTCATAAAACTGCCTTGAAATGTATGTTATATCTTGTGAACTATTTTCACTATGATTACATGATGAATGTGTGTGCATGTTTAGTGGAAAGGGGGGGGGGGGGGGGCAGCAATCTACACAAGTCAATTAAGTTATGATGAGTGATTTTATGATCAGTAATTATCAGATGAAGACAAACTGAATGACCACAAGATGCATTAAGATTTCCCCCATCCTTAATAAAACCACAGTAAATACAGAGAGCAGGATATATAACGTGTTATCTCTGAACCTCACTTCCTGGATCCACAACCTCTGATAGGCATGCCTATCTAAAGGTGTCATCACAAAAACTTATATCTGTATATATACTAGGCCAAACAAAAAATAGGAAATGTTTGTTTTACTGTTACATACTAATAAATAACAGGATCATGAAAAGGGATTTGATTTCAATATTACCTTACATAAAGACATAGAATTTTTTTTCAAGACAGTTTGAAAACTTTTTTAACTTAAAAAAAATATCTCTTAATACTATAGATCTACCTGATGGCTCTAAATATTGCTTATAAAATGTGACCTTACAACCTGTAAACTGCAACATTTGGGGGGGGGGGGGGGGGGGAGGAAACCATACATATGTGTAAATTTCCAGATTTTACAACAAACACAATAGGGGTTGGTGAGGTAACTTGCAAAAACATTTTTTTTTCTTAGGCCCTAAATCAGTATACTTTCTAATAAAAGTGTTGATAATCAGCATAAAGGGAGGAAAATCATTAAGTGATACCTTTTTTTTTTTTTTTTTTTAATAAAATCACGATAAATTCCCTGAAGAAGAGAACAGGGTTCGACACTTACCTTAGTCCGTTAGTCTCAGACTAATACATTTTCATTCGGACTAATAAAATCTGTGGCTAATTAGTCCGAACGGACCAATAAAAATTCCTGGAAAACAACATGAATAATTTAAAGATGTCCGATTCTCCACAGCTTTTACTGGAAAACCCCGCATTTATTTGTAGCTTTCTAGATTTTTGGCGCGGAGTTAGACAATGTCGAGTTAGCGCATAATTTTTTCAACTGATTGGTTTGAAGTAAAACGTTTTAGCGATCATTATTAATATGACACATAAAAGAAAGATGTCAGACATTTTGGATGTAATGTAAAGAGAAAAAGAACTAGATCGGGAATACGATCGTACTCGTTGATCTAGATAGAACGTTCTATCGTTAAAATGATATTGTCCTACGGACCCGCTTTAACGATAGAATTCGTTCCGTGTATTGGCAATGTTGCAAAATACACACGGGCGATGACTCGTACTCTGTGCATGTTCTATGAACAATCCAGAGAGTTTCGAATGTCAACATGGCGTTAAATTTGAAGCGAGGAAAAAACGTTGAGAAAATTAGTTGAATTTTCGTATTTATATGGCTTATTTTTTAGGTTAAAAGACATAGATTATCTCAAAAAGGTTTGTTATGATTAATTTGGTAGTTATTTTCAGTGCAATTCCTTTTGTATTCTTCAAAATCATTTCGGAGTGGATCCACTCCAATTTGCTACATTGCAAGTATATGGAACGTAGGCCTATTCTAACTGTGGTGAGGGCTTGTCCCGAGACACAGTTAGATTATTCTAACTATCGTTGATCGCGAGGTTTTAACGAATCTGTGCTAGGAATAAGCCATTTCACGTAAATGCTTTGTTTATTTTAAAAAAGTAAAAAAACATATATTGAAATGTTTATTTTTAAATTAATGCTACAAAACGTTGATGTTTCTTTTTTTTTTTGACGGACTCATAAAATTGCATGCGGACTAGTAAAAGTAAAGAAGCACTAGTCCGGCCGGACTAAAACCTAAAAAAGTTAGTGTCGAACCCTGAGAGAACCGAGTAAAATACACTTTTATAATACTTACAAGGATTAACAATAAGAACACACAGGTTCACATTCAGATTTGGTGTGAATAAGCTGAATTCAGTGTTACTTGTTTGGATGAAATTCCAACCAAAGTTGACATACACTCATGGTTATAGTTAATCTAAATACCAGATAGATTGATCATTTTCATTGGGCAAAGAGTTTCTGGCAAGAATGTCAGTTCATTATTCCATTGGTTGTATCCACTGTATCCAGGTCAGGTAAAAGGGACCCTGTCCTGATTGAAAATTGTCTCTTTTTTCCCCCAAAAAATTTAGGTAAAAATCCCAAATGCAGATTGAATTCTTGAGTGCTTTTTATATTTTAAAAATATGAATTTTGAGATTATAATGCAGCGATTTTTTTTCCCTATAACTGGTACCAATAAACGGTACCATTCCCAATTGCCAAAAAAATGTTAATTCTTCCCAATTTTGAGACTAAAAATTAACAATTCAACTGCCAAGCAACAGACTACGATGACATCATATTTCTTTTTATATGAAACATTGTACAAGTTGACTAGTTGTTTCACTTCTGCTTAAATCGAAAGTAGAGATTAGTCGTAATATGGCGGGACCTGTGGTGTAGACAGCGTAGTGTCATACATTTTGACAAATTGAAAGCATGAAAATGCAAAAACAAGGGACATTAATATGAAAAACAATAAATACTTGTTGTTTATTCTTTAAAACATGGAGTAATAGGTAATGAGGTTGGAAAAAAATGCAAAATACGTTTCATTTGTTTAAATGACATAAAATTCTGCTTTGTTCTACTTCAATTCTATTTTTCCCAATTGAACTGGTACATGTACCAGACCCTTTCCCCATGGGTAGAAAAAAATCACTGTAATGATTCATAAACAGATGAATATGTAAAGAGGGAATAACCCCTGCAATCTAACTCTTTATTCTGCAGTTAATGTGTGCTTTTATGACAGACATTATAGCTTGGGTTCGAGATTTAATGTTGGTTGCTAAGCAAATGTAAACAACGGACCATAGATCATAACGTCGTGAAAACATCTTTGGCTTCATTGTCTAAACTTCAACAATTTAGACAATTTTTTTATTTTAAAAATGTTACATAACATATATCACATGGCTTCGAGAATATACAAGAATATTTGCCCTTTGGTGACAGGAGAGCCCTGGAGTGTTAAGTCATCCTCAGAATCGTGTGACATGACATTTCAGGACTTTCCTGTCACCTTGGGGCAAATATTCTGGTATGTCACCCTCAAAGTCATGTGATGTATGTATAATATTTACATTCCACATGTATTTTCTTTACACCATAACACACACGGTGAGGTCAAAAGGTTAACTTATGATTTTTATTTTGATGCAAAACTGTGCAAGTGCAACATGATAAGCTAAACTCAAAATTCACTCCGACATTGAACATATTAAGGCTACGCCTTCATTTTAGCTACAGGTATAAATGCAGTGTGTATCATTTTAACAGATATAAAACACCAGCAATCAAGGAAATGACATTTTATCAATCTACCAAGAAAATTGAAAATGTAAATATTAGCAATGAATTATATATGTTGGGCATTCAATGTGTCATAACAAAGACAACTGGGCTAACAAATGTAATAATGTGGGTTATTCCGTTTGTCAACACTGCCTTTAGAGTAGACACGTCGAATGTCCAAAATTTACAATTTCATGCTTAAGGATACACCAAAGGTTTCCAAATGCCCAAATTTAATTTGCATGTAATTCTTTCATTATCAAAGATAACATAATAAAAGTATATATCATCTGAAAGCTTGTTAAATTTACTCTTTAACTATCCTGATTTAAACTTTGATTAATAACTTATTTAAAAATTATTTAAATATTAATGTAAATTTTAGTGCATAGATATTTTATAAATCAACTTTTTTGTATTTAACCCCTCAAAGTGGTAATTTTGCCTCAAGATAGACTAAAGATTGAACTTCAAAACTGTATCTCAGATTTCTGATAAATCCTCTAATTCAAAAGTTACAGCCATTTGCCCTTCAAAGTTAACAATTTATTAGCCTAATTTAACATTTCCGTCAATAATTCCAAAACTAAGCTAGATATCAAAAATCTGAGATACGGTTTTGTGAACACACATTTGAGAAGCAACCTATCCAATTTTCAGAGAAATTGGTCAATAAATGAGGGAGCTGAATCCTTTGAAATAATACCACAAACTGTCTGATCTTACTTTACAGTAGAGGGCAAAAACCCATTACACAACAAAATCTGCCAAAGTTAGGAATATATGACACCTTGGAGATTCAGCTTTGGATACCTGTCACTTAGCCATATTTCCCATGCATATTCACAAGAATGGGAGGTTCTTTTCTGTATTTAGATGCTTTTTATTAAGTAAAATAGGTTCAATTCTGAATCAGAAAGATTTCCCGGCAAAATGGCAAGCTAAGCTCCGCCTCCTATTTTATGGTCATCAGTGATCTGTTAGATCTCCTTCTCTAAATCTAGAGTCCCTGTAGTTTAATTACTGATAACCTCTGTGTGGCTAGTGAAGAATTCCCCAAGTGGTCACAGTGATTTATTGTGTCTTTCATGAGCAGGCAGTCACAGATCAAATCAGAAGCTTCAATAACGGAACATTCACATGTGGTAGTGTTTATGTTTCATTATTGTTAAATAATTAGAAAACCATTTCATAATTACCAAAAATTTTACATGCATTATAAAGCAGTGATTAACTTCTTTTTCTTAGCCAAAAATCTCAAAATTGTTGAAAATCTTGAAAAAAGCCTTTGGTGTATCCTTAATTAACAAGACACTGTCCACCCCCCCACCCCAAAAATAGAGTGAGAATACTCGAAAGAGCTTTTAAAAAATGCATCGTGTGACTGTTATGAACACTTCATAAAGTATCAAGTATTACAATCAGAAAGAAGAACCTAAGGACTTGAACCTTCTAATGATAGAAGTATCAGGAGTCAAGCATCAGTCCACTTTCATCTCCGACAACCTTAAATATGAGAGAGACTTTTTAATGTTTTCAAGTATAAATCAATAGCCTTAAAGTTGGCAACTATCAACAACGCCTATGCACTCAGTGTTTTCACCAAAATCTGTCCATGAATTCAACTAACCACTTCAATTTATAATAATTATGCCTGTTGGAAATCCAAAAGCTAAAAGTTAATTGTCAGGGCTCGACATCAACGCTTGCCCGCATGTCCGGTACCAGTGAAAAAGAATTACGGACAAGTGAATATTGCTGGCCGCTTGTCCGATTGGACAAGTGCATTTTAAAGTAAAGAAGTCTCGAATTTATAAAAAAGAACGACTGTCAAACGTTTACTGGTACTGTGGGCCTAGTTCAAAGACGGAAACAGTATGTACCTAATACCGAACTTGGATCCCGATATGGATCGCTATGTAGTTGAGTTCACACTCGATCGGAATCGAAGTTCACTAATTGCATAGTACTGTAAAGGCATGGAATTTACGAAGTTTGGATTCTGTTTGATGTTGACAGTCCATTTATGTTGTTGTTAGGACAGCAAGTCTAGCTAAAATTTTGTGTTATGTGTTTGTTGTATTTATCAAGAATCATCATGAATTAATCAAGCACATGTAATAGAATTCATTTGAGTTTTCAAGTTGACAGTATTAGATCTTTGTTGAAAATTTTTCAGACAAGTGATCTTGAAGTTCGGACAAGTTAATGTCTTGGTCACTTGTCCTAATGGACAAGTAGGGAAAAAAAGTTAATGTCGAGCCCTGATTGTAGCTGATACTGAGTGATAAACCTTAAACCCTAGCCTGTTACAATTCACTTCTACCTTTTCCTTTTGAAATAAATGGTGAACACTGTGCATTACTTTTCATAATGGGAAGTATCAGGCAAAGTTACCGACATCATAATCACTGTCAAAACTCCAATGATTCACAACTCGTATCGACCTACAGGAAGTCATATCAAGATATGTTGACAAATTGAAAAACCCATCTTATTATATGACAAATTTAAATGTAACCTGATCTACACACAATAAACTGATATCATGGATATATACACACAAATATTACTTATATCAGGACACAAGGTTGACTCAACACAAGCGTCTTCCCTGTTTTTATCACATTTGTAAGCTGAGCATTCTTTTTGAATTACAATTTCTCTTCTTTGCATGTTTACACACACACACACACACACCAATTAAATTACATTTATAGCTTCAATGTCACTTTCATCATTACTGAATATTTATTAGCTTCACTCATTAAGAATTCTTAAGAAATTATCTATAAATAAACAGCATGCAATTATTCCAATCATATGACTGTTATAAAAAAAGAGAACTTGCATAAGTTATATGCTATATACAATAACACCTGCACACACAAACACTACAGTGTTGACAAAGTGACTATCAACACCCCTCCCTTAGTGAATGCTGTGTCAATGAACTTAACCAACAAATAATGAAAAGTAAACACTCAGATTGGAAGTCCACATTGTACTTCTGAAACCGATGCATAACTTCGTAATGATTGTATAGAATCACACACTGAAGTCATCAACTTGACAATGAATACTGACGCTCGTTAGTTTGACAACTTTTTGACAGAACAAATCCTCCCCCCTAAAATTTTGGAACTGCCTCGTAAAATCGGAGGTTACACAAAGTGCAATGTGTATTAGACAAAACAAGCACCTGCTGCTACCTACCTATGTAACGTACAATTACTTATATTGCGTATATACCTTTAAATAAGTAATCATATTCGTCGTCCTTCGTCCCCATATTATGACTTCCGGAATGAACGGAAGGACCGCCTCAACAAGTTAATTACTATTTTATCGGGGATCGTCTGAAGAAATCACAATTAAACACGGTTAATTGTCCCTCTATCTACTTTTAGAATCCAGGTGTTATCGGTACAGGATAATGATGGGTCAGATTGGTGTTAGATTGGGGACGATTTTCCCCTTCTCTTCTCTCAGTAATTCAATATGGCGGAATAGACGCCCCTTGTGTTCTTTTGCGCATTTCTATACGTCATTTTGGCGCATCCGGAAATTAAGATTTTCAAAACAATATTGGGCGCGCTTGTTTTGTCGAAATAGGTGCACACCACTTAGACTCTGTATGGGGCATGTGTTGTTAAATGTTTAAACTCTAGTTCATTGCATTTTATGAAAAAATGAAAGTGCTCAAGGTACTTTGTAAAATATTCAAAACTAAGTTTAAAGCAAGTTTTGGTGATAAAGGCACCATATATTTTAGAGTATGGCTAGTAAAATATGGTTATTTTATATGAATTTTTTTTTAAGGATTTAAAATAAAAAAATTATTCACAATATTGCAACATATATTTTAAAAAAAATCTGCAAAAAAGATTCCCATAGCAACGTTTTTCAAAGTGGGGGGGGGGGCTTAAAAAAATATAATAAAAAAAACCAAACAAAGCAAAAGCGAAAACCCCAAGCAGCTTCCAAATGAAAATTTATATATTAAAACCACATTCTAAAAATTATAAATTATAAAGTGGGGGGGGGGGGAGTTACAGGCCTGTCGGCCCTCAGCATTTTGAAATTTTGACGTCCACGTTCATTGCACTTGATTTAAGGTTTTCTACACACCGTGTACTATGGTGTACGTAGACAAATCAAACACGCCTCTAATATGAGGAGTCTCTGGTTCACGTGAACCCGGATTTAAAACGTTCAAAAATGTTTCTGAGGCAGACACCCCTCCCCCCTTAAAAAAAAAAAAAAAAAAAAAAAAAAAAATTAATAAATAAAAAAAAAATACACTTTTGCTATTAAACTATTACAATTATATAATTATTGTTATTATTTTTTTTATTCATTAATAATTTAATTCTGATTGTAACACGCCATTTGATTGGATAAAACATTTATTTTATATCGTATAAATTGGGTTGCCTACATCACAATTATAATGACTAGCATCAAAAAACGTATCGATCCGCCTGAAGTTACATTTAAATGTGTACAATTTGAAGTCAATTTTTAAGGACAATCATCTTTCTTCTTACATTAAATGAATGAAAATTAAATTATAAGGAATGAATTTAATAGCTACCCATTTTAAACGGTATAAAGTGGGTTGGGACAGTTTACGCTTTATAAACGGTTTATAAAAAAAGCGTAAACTGTTCCAACCCACTTTATACCGTATAAATTGGGTAGCTATATTAAATTCTTTCCTTAATTTTTTTAATTGATTCGTTTTAACGCACCCCCTCCTTTCTTTATAGAAAGTCATGGATGTTTGTATGATGATACTTTAAGTGTGGTGAATTTACTAATTATATAATAAATTAATAAATATATGTAAAATTGTGAGCGGATAAAATTGATATTTAAGAAATAAGGTATCATTTTTAAACATCTATCGGGATATAAATACGGGTTGGTCACGAGATCAAATTCCATAAAGCCCGAAGGGCTTTATGGTAAATTTGATCTCGTACCAACCCGTATTTATATCCCGACAGATGTTTTAAAATGATACCTTATTACATATATTTACATTTGTGACTTATTTATATTATTTTTTTAGCCTGATTGTAACCTTTAACGCGTGAAATGTTTAATTTTTTTCAAACTCAACGGCACAAGTTTGATCTATTGATTGCGCGTCGACCCTTTATGACGTCACTGAGAAATTACGTCGAACGTTTATGACGCGAGGAACCCGTGTTTATACGGATATAGATACACATTATATTGCTTTTAAAAGTTTTATATAAAGGAAAACATTTGCAAATGTAAATATATGGATTTGACACGCAGAAAACCCAGGTATAACTCTGTCAATTTGTTGACCAAGTGAGACAGTTTTTATTTTTTTCGGTAAACTGTGTAATCTTAAATTGGACGTATGATCAAAACATATTACATGTATTTAAAATATGAAGTGATCCTCTCCAATATGCCGTATTATGGTGCTCCGCCACAAAGCATATTAGCTCGTTTCTTGATTTTGTAGTGAACAAAGATGTTCATTTATATGTAGAATTAACCTGCATGTGTGATTACGACTTACTTGTCATTACTAGGTGGCCTTCCAACGTTCACGTTGAAAAACAAACGTGATAAAAAAGAATTCATTTGTTGTTGTGCAAAGTTTTTCTGCCAAGCCTCTGCCTTTTTTAAGTAGGGCTTCCACTCAAACATATTTTTTTTCCCAGTATATTACTGATCTTGTAAATACATTTGTATGTGCATCTTTCCTTTTTCTTTTCTTTTATTTAATGTCAATTTACAATATGACGTTCCTAACAGAACATAATATCACGCGCAGATCTAGAAAGGGGGGGGGGGGTTCCGCCCCCCTGGAATTTGCAGAGTTATTAAAAGTATATACTGAAGCAAACACAAAATGACTTTGCCCCCCCCCCCCCCCGAAAACGTGGAGCCCACCATCACTACCACGAAATAGGTGGTTTTAACGTTTGGAAAATTGATTTTACTTTTTCTTTCTTTCTTTCTTTTTTTTTTGTCAAGAAATTTCTGGGTTAGAATAGACCCCAAGCTCAACTGGTGAAAAATAATGCTATTTTAAGTAGCATGCTTTCCCAAAACCTGAAATGCAGTGTTAAACAATACATGGCTAGATGAGCTATGTTGCAACCACTATTGAAATAACGACCACTATTGAAATAATTATTTCAATAGTGGTTGAGAGTGCATTTGAAAACCAAACACAGGTTGTAACAACTATTGAAATAACGTTCACTATTGAAACAATTATTTCAGTAATGGTTGAAAGTGCATTTCAAAACCAAACTAAAAACTAAATTCTCACATATTTTCATGGGCTTGCCCACACTACAAATATGTAGGCCTTTCAACTTTTTTTTCAAGTTGCACATACGGTAAAAACATTTGATGTATAGATTTGTAGGCACGTGAAATTATCAAAAAAAGATTATAACCTATACATACCTACATACCTTTACTTAAATCATAAAAAAAATTAATTATTAATATTTCATTTGTACGATATTGTGATTTTAGGACAGGTAACTCAAGTGTAAAAAACGACCAACAAAGTTCCGATTTATGAGTTATCGTTTATAGGAATGACATATAGGCTGCTTCAATCGGTATTGTTATGTACACAAAAGGGTTCCTTAAATCCTTATTACACAAAAGGGTTGACCAAAACTAGGAAATTGTCTGCACTCTATACATGTGCCTGGAATAACAGGATCAAATGAATGGGGGAACTGACTATATTCACGATTTTTATCTCTCTCTGCACAGTTGTTATGAGGAGGAAAATAGAGTGCAATGTTTTTTGTGTGTGCATTGTTGTGTTTCATCTATAAGAATATAAATTTCTAAATTAACTATCTTATTCTTTTCACTAAGCACGAAGAAGAACGATCAAGTATATAAAAATTTAATCAGGTCAAAATTAAGAAGGGGGATGAATTTCACTTTATATTTTTATTACAAAATTAACTTATATATCATTTTACAGGGTCGGTAACTACACGATAAATAAGTTTAACACTGGATTCCGATGACAGTGAAGGGACACTTGGGAAATGCTAAAACTGGACATGCTAGAAAAATATTAGCTTCCTCGGACCTCTGTAAACAAGTTCCGGTAATGAGTTGTCCTTCTTTTCATCGAACCCTAGCGGCAATTAAAAGGTCTTAAATATGGATAATAAATCCAACGTCTACTCGTCAAGACATTAAAAAACTGAGACAGAGTAAAAGCTAAGGTACAACTCAAGAGTGAAATAATGAGACAAAGTGAAAACTAAGATACAACTCAAGAGTGATATACTGAGAGGAAGTGAAAACGAAGATACAACTTAAGAGTGGAATAAAGAGACAAAGTAAAAACTAAGATACAACTCAGAAGTGGAATAATGAGACAAAGTAAAAACTAAGATACAACTCAGGAGTGGAATAATGAGACAAAGTGAAAACTAAGATACAACTCAAGAGTGAAATAATGAGAGAAAGTAAAAACTGAGATACAACTCAGGAGTGAAATACCGAGACAATGTAAAAACTAAGATACAACTCAAGAGTGAAATAATGAGAGAAAGTAAAAACTAAGATACAACTCAAGAGTGAAATAATGAGACAAAGTAAAAACTAAGATACAACTCAGGAGTGAAATACCGAGACAATGTAAAAACTAAGATACAACTCAAGAGTGAAATAATGAGAGAAAGTAAAAACTAAGATACAACTCAAGAGTGAAATAATGAGACAAAGTAAAAACTAAGATACAACTCAGGAGTGAAATACCGAGACAATGTAAAAACTAAGATACAACTCAAGAGTGAGATAATGAGAGAAAGTAAAAACTAAGATACAACTCAAGAGTGAAATAATGAGACAAAGTAAAAACTAAGATACAACTCAGGAGTGAAATACCGAGACAATGTAAAAACTAAGATACAACTCAAGAGTGAAATAATGAGAGAAAGTAAAAACTAAGATACAACTCAAGAGTGAAATAATGAGACAAAGTGAAAACTAAGATACAACTCAAGAGTGAAATAATGAGACAAAGTAAAAACTAAGATACAACTCAAGAGTGAAATACCGAGAGAAAGTAAAAACTAAGATACAACTCAAGAGTGAAATAATGAGAGAAAGTAAAAACTAAGATACAACTCAAGAGTGAAATAATGAGACAAAGTGAAAACTAAGATACAACTCAGGAGTGGAATAATGAGACAAAGTGAAAACTAAGATACAACTCAAGAGTGAAATAATGAGAGAAAGTAAAAACTGAGATACAACTCAGGAGTGAAATACCGAGACAATGTAAAAACTAAGATACAACTCAAGAGTGAAATAATGAGAGAAAGTAAAAACTAAGATACAACTCAAGAGTGAAATAATGAGACAAAGTAAAAACTAAGATACAACTCAGGAGTGAAATACCGAGACAATGTAAAAACTAAGATACAACTCAAGAGTGAAATAATGAGAGAAAGTAAAAACTAAGATACAACTCAAGAGTGAAATAATGAGACAAA